AGACTAGACTATAGACTAGACTATAGACTAGACTATAGACTAGACTATAGACTAGACTATAGACTAGACTATAGACTAGACTATAGACTAGACTATAGACTAGACTATACACTAGACTATAGACTAGACTATAGACTAGACTATAGACTAGATTATAGACTAGACTATAGACTATACTATAGACTATACTATAGACTAGACTATAGACTAGACTATAAACTAGATAATAGACTAGACTATAAACTAGACTATGGACTAGACTATAGACTAGACTATAGACTAGACTATAGACTAGACTATAGACTAGACTATAGACTAGACTATAGACTAAAGACTAGACTATATACTAGACTATAGACTAGATTATAGACTAGACTATAGACTATACTATAGACTATACTATAGAGTAGACTATAGACTAGACTATAAACTAGATAATAGACTAGACTTTAAACTAGACTATAGACTAGACTATAGTCTAGACTATAGACTAGACTATAGACTAGACTATACTATAGACTAGACTATAGACTAGACTATACTATAGACTAGACTATAGACTAGACTATAGACTAGACTATAGACTGGACTATAGACTATACCATAGACTAGACTATAGACTAGACTATAGACTAGAATATGTTGCCCACGATTCGCCCTTTCGCAACATTTTTGTTTAACAACATTTGTCTAGACACTTTTCTCTTACAACAATGTTGCTGGTGCTGTAGGTTCGACCTAACAGATTGTCTTAAAAGTATCTTTTTAGTTGATGATGATCATCAACTTTAAAATGGAATTTTTACGCGCGCTTAACTTCTTTTATAAATATGAAAGAAGACTCGCGTGTATCTGTAACAAATGGTGGGGAGTAGGCGGCATACTTGTGTTTATAAACATTTACAGCATCTTCATGACATCCTCAAACAACTTCTCTCCATCTCTCTCACTCATTCTTACTCTTTCCTTTTACTTGTGGAAAATAACTTAAAGACTTCTTTTTCTTCTTTAAACTTAATAATGTTTACTGTAAATTCCTGCGGATGCGGTTGTATTTCATAGTGTTTTATAAAGAAGAAAAAAAAAAGAAAGAAAAATGTTTATTTTTTTTTTTTCTCATTTAAAAACTTGCCACAACATGTATCGGCTTTTAGTATGTTTTATATTTTTTCTAAAGTATATTGAACTTGCGCATATTTTTGCTGCGCTGGCGCTGTTTTTCCAGGAATTATTCCATATAAATACATTTTGGGTTTGTTTTGCTTGTATCTTCAAACCCCTTAGACCCCCCCTGTTCTTGTTTGAAATGTACTTTTTTGCTAAGATTTGCATTTTTTGTTCTTATTTGTGTTTTGTGTTAAGAGCTTAGTATACTTTTAATTTCATAAGCAGTTTTTTTCTGTTGCTTTGATTTGTTTTTGAAAATATGTTGCAGTTGTTTTTGTTGTTTTTTTTTTAGTGAAAAATAAATTCTTATGTTAATGACAACTGCAAAAAAAAACACATTTCTGTTGTTTATTAAGAAATTAACGTAGAAAAGCTTAAAAATTGTTTTTTCAGAAATCATGATGTGCAAGAAATGTTGTATTTGATACCTGGGTTTTGAAAAATAAAGGAATTTGTAACGGTTAAACAAAATTTGAAAAAAGGAAAGAAAATACTGAAGTTTAGACTATAAACTAAACTATAGACTAGACTATAGACTAGACTATAGACTAGACTATAGACTAGACTATAGACTAGACTATAGACTAGACTTGACTAGACTATAGACTAGACTATAGACTAGACTATAGACTAGACTATAGACTAGGCTATAGACTAGACTATAGACTAGACTATAGACTAGACTATAGACTAGACTATAGACTAGACTAAAGACTAGACTATAGACTAGACTATAGACTAGACTATAGACTAGACTATAGACTAGACTATAGACTAGACTATAGACTAGACTATAGACTAGACTATAGACTAGGCTATAGACTAGACTATAGACTAGACTATAGACTAGACTATAGACTAGACTATAGACTAGACTATAGACTAGACTATAGACTAGTCTATAGACTAGACTAGACTATAGACTAGATATAGACTTGACTATAGACTAGACTATAGACTAGACTATAGACTAGACTATAGACTAGTAATACTAGACTGTAGACTAAACTATAGACTAGACTATAGACTAGACTATAGACTAGACTATAGACTAGACTATAGACTAGACTATAGACTAGACTATAGACTAGACTATAGACTAGACTATAGACTAGACTATAGACTAGACTATAGACTAGACTATAGACTAGACTATAGACTAGACTATAGACTAGACTATAGACTAGACTATAGACTAGACTATAGACTAGACATAGACTAGACTATAGACTAGACTATAGACTAGACTATAGACTAGACTATAGACTAGACTATAGACTAGACTATAGACTAGACTATAGACTAGGACTATAGACTAGACTATAGACTAGACTATAGACTAGACTATAGACTAGACTATAGACTAGACTATAGACTAGACTATAGACTAGACTATAGACTAGACTATAGACTAGACTATAGACTAGACTATAGACTAGACTATAGACTAGACATAGACTATACACTACACTATAGACCAGACTTTTTACAGACTAGACTATAGACTAGACTATAGACGAGACTATAGACTAGACTATAGACTAGACTACAGACTATACTATAGACTAGACTATAGACTAGACTATAGACAAGACTATAGACTAGACTATAGACTAGACTCTAGACTAGACTATAGACTAGACTATAGAATAGACTATAGAGTAGACTATAGACTAGACTATAGACTAGACTATAGACTAGACTATAGACTAGACTATAGACTAGACTATAGACTAGACTATAGACTAGACTATAGACTAGACTATAGACTAGACTATAGACTAGACTATAGACTAGACTATAGACTAGACTATAGACTAGACTATAGACTAGACTATAGACTAGACTATAGACTAGACTATAGACTAGACTATAGACTAGACTATAGGACTAGACTATAGACTAGACTATAGACTAGACTATAGACGAGACTATAGACTAGACTATAGACTAGACTATAGACTAGACTATAGACTAGACTATAGACTAGACTATAGACTAGACTATAGACTAGACTATAGACTAGACATATAGACTAGACTATAGACTAGACTATAGACTATACTATAGACTAGACTATTGACTATACAATAGACTAGACTATGACTAGACTATAGACTACTATAGACTAGACTATAGACTAGACTATAGACTAGACTATAGACTAGACTATAGACTAGACTATAGACTAGACTATAGACTAGACTATAGACTAGACTATAGACTAGACTATAGACTAGACTATAGACTAGACTATAGACTAGACTATAGACTAGACTATAGACTAGACTATAGACTAGACTATAGACTAGACTAGACTATAGACTAGACTAGACTATAGACTAGACTATAGACTAGACTATAGACTAGACTATAGACTAGACTATAGACTAGACTATAGACTAACTAAAACTAGACTATAGACTAGAATAGACTAGACTATAGACTAGACTATAGACTAGACTATAGACTAGACATAGACTAGACTATAGACTAGACTATAGACTAGACTATAGACTAGACTATAGACTAGACTATAGACTAGACTATAGACTAGACTATAGACTAGACTATAGACTAGACTATAGACTAGACTAGACACTAGACTATAAACTAGACTATACATAGACTATAGACTAGACTATAGACTAGACTATAGACTAGACATAGACTAGCATAGACTAGACTATAGACTAGACTATAGACTAGACTATAGACTAGACTATAGACTAGACTATAGACTAGACTATAGACTAACTATACACTAGACTATATACCAGACTATAGACCAGACTATAGACTAGACTAGAGACTATACACTACATAGACCAGACTTTTTACAGACTAGATAGACTGGACTATAGACTAGACTATAGACTAGACTATAGACTAGACTATAGATAGACTATAGACTAGACTATAGACTAGACTATAGACTAGACTATAGACTAGACTATAGACTAGACTATACACTAGACTATAGACCAGACTATAGACAGACTATAGACTAGAGACTATACTACTGACCAGATTTAAGACTAGACTATAGACTAGACTATACTAGACTATAGACTAGACTATAACTACTATAGTAGACTATAGTCTAATCTATAGACTAGACCATACACTAGTATAAGCTAAAGACTAACCTATAATCTAAGATATAGTTTAGTGTACAGTTTAAACTATAATTTAGTTGTAGGAATTTCCATTGCGCTTTATACTTTTCTACCCACTGTTCTAAAAAATGTTCCATATATGTTTTGAAATTTATATCAAAATAAAAATTGTCATTTTATTTCATTCAAATTCAAATATTTCTGTCGTCAAGATCTTCTGTGTTTTTTTGTCGTTTTTTGAAAATTTTAATGCAGATCCCCCCAAAAGAAAACAACAAAATTCAATAAATTGTGTCCTTTTAATGTGTTTGAAAATTTTGTGTAAAAAATCTTTTGTAAAAGTTTGTGCAAATTGTGAATGTTGTTAGAGTTACTACTAGATATAGTCAATTTTATCAAAATGCTGGTGACAAGGTAATGTTGTTAAAAAAAAAAAAACATAATAATTTATTTAATTATTTAAATGGTAGTTAAAACAAATACGCTTTTTTAGACCTTATAACAAAAAAGGAACCTTCATTAGAAACAGCCTCTCTCCCCCCTCTCTCTCTCTCACACTGTTAGAGTAGTTTTTCTGCAAAGCTTTTTCTGTTTACATTTAGAACAAATTAAATCCAGCTTCAAATTCTAAAACAGAATTTTTAACAATTTTGTTTTTGTATAAATTTTGTTTTTGCATATTTTTTTTCTTATACTTTCTCTTGTGTTTCACAGTGTTACGACATCAAAGATTTTAATAAGCGGCATACCGCTGCAAACACGTTTCGAAGACATCGAACCTCTTTTGAAGCCATATGGCATCGTCAAACAATGTGAGGCTGTCTCTAGTAAGGACCCACAAACTCAGACTGTTCATATAACATTCGAGAATAATGAACAAGCTCAAAGGTATATTTAACACACACACACACATTCACATACACTTACACAAAATTTTTAAGCAAAATTGTTTTACACCTTTTCGGCCTTTTTAAAGAATTTATTTTACAATTTGGCAAAATATATTTGTTGTTTTTATGAAAAATTTATAAATTCTAGTTTTAAGTTGCAAAATATTTTTTTTTTCACAGAAATTTATATGAAATGAATCTATTCTTGACTAGACAGTCTATTGTCTAGTCTATAGATTAGACTATAAAAACTACAGTATAGACTAGACTATAGTCTAGACTATAGACAGACTAAAGACTATATTATAGACTAGATCTTAAACTAAACGATAGACTAGATTATAGACTAGACTATAGACTAGTATATATACTAGACTATAGACTAAAGACTAGGCTATAGACTAGAATATAGACTAGACTATAGACTAGACTATAGACTGGACTATAGACTAGACTATAGACTAGACTATAGACTAGACTATAGACTAGACAATAAACTAGACTATAGACTAGACTATAGCCTAGACTATGGACTAGACTAGACTATAGACTAGACTATAGACTAGACTATAGACTAGACTATAGACTAGACTATAGACTAGACTATAGACTAGACTATAGACTAGACTATAGACTAGACTATAGACTAGACTAGACTAGACTATAGACTAGACTATAGACTAGACTATAGACTAGACTATAGACTAGACTATAGACTAGACTATAGACTAGACTATAGACTAGACAATAAACTAGACTATAGACTAGACTATGGACTAGACTAGACTATAGACTAGACTATAGACTAGACTATAGACTAGACTATAGACTAGACTATAGACTAGACTATAGACTAGACTATAGACTAGACTATAGACTAGACTATAGACTAGACTATAGACTAGACTATAGACTAGACTATAGACTAGACTATAGACTAGACTATAGACTAGACTATAGACTAGACTATAGACTAGACTATAGACTAGGTTATAGACTAGACTATAGACTAGACTATAGACTAGACTATAGACTAGACTATAGTCTAGACTATAGACTAGACTATAGACTAGACTATAGACTAGACTATAGACTAGACTATAGACTAGACTATAGACTAGACTATAGACTAGACAATATACTAGACTATAGACTAGACTATAGACTAGTCTATATACTAGACTAGTCTAGACTACAGACTAGACTATATACTAGACTATATACTAGACTGTAGACTAGTCTTTAGACTAAAGTGTAGACTTTATACTAGACTATAGACTAGTCTTTGGACTAAAGTGTAGACTTTATACTAGACTATAGACTAAAGTATATAATAGACTATAGACTAGACTATAGACTTGACTATAGACTAGACTATAGGCTAGACTAATGTCTAGACTGTATACTAGACTATAGACTAGACTATAGACTAGACTATAGACTAGACTATAGACTAGACTATAGACTAGACTATAGACTAGACTATAGACTAGACTATAGACTAGACTATAGACTAGACTATAGACTAGACTATAGACTAGACTATAGACTAGACTATAGACTAGACTATAGACTAGACTATAGACTAGACTATAGACTAGACTATAGACTAGACTATAGACTAGACTAGACTAGACTATAGGCTAGACTATAGACTAGACTATAGACTAGACTATAGACTAGACTATAGACTAGACTATAGACTAGACTATATACTAGACTATATACTAGACTATATACTAGACTATATACTAGACTATAGACGAGACTATAGACTAGACTATAGACTAGACTATAGACTAGACTATAGACTAGACTATAGACTAGACTATAGTCTATATACTAGACTATAAAGTAGACTATAGACTAGACTATATACTAGACTGTAGACTAGTCTTTAGACTAAAGTGTAGACTTTATTATAGACTAGACTATAGACTAAAGTATATAATAGACTATAGACTAGACTATAGACTTGACTATAGACTATACTATAGGCTAGATTAAAGTCTAGACTATAGACTAGACTATAGACTAGACTAGACTATAGACTAGACTATAGACTAGATTATAGACTAGACTATAGACTAGACTATATACTAGACTACAGACTAGGCAATATACTAGACAATAGACTATACTATAGACTTGACTATAGACTAGACTATAGACTAGACCATAGACTAGACAATAGACCAGACTATAGACTAGACTGGAAAATATAGCTGAAAATCAAATTCTAAAGGAATTTATTCAAAAATTTAGTTTTCCGTTAAAAATTTTTAAATTTTCTTAAAATTTTATTAATAATTTCTTTAAATTTCTTGTATCATTTTAGAGCTGCTGGTGGTTTAAACGGTGTTGAATTCGAAGGCAATAAATTACACGCCGAACAGCTAGATAAAAATCAACGTCGCACTCAACGCAATCAACGTAATCCATATCCCGGTATGCCAGGACCCGGTCGTCAAGCGGACTTTCCGCTACGCATCTTAGTGCAAAGTGAAATGGTTGGAGCCATTATTGGACGCCAGGGCAGTACTATACGCACCATAACACAGCAAAGTCGTGCACGTGTCGATGTACATCGAAAGGAGAATGTGGGTTCACTGGAAAAGGCCATAACAATCTATGGTAATCCTGAGAATTGTACAAATGCCTGTAAACGTATATTGGAGGTGATGCAACAGGAAGCCAATGCCACAAATAAGGGGTAAGGAGAAAGAATTTTACATGTTTCTTTTCACAAAACTAATATTTTCATTTCTAGGGAAATTTGTTTAAAAATTTTGGCCCATAATAATTTAATTGGCCGCATTATCGGCAAAAATGGCAACACTATTAAACGCATTATGCAAGAAACCGATACTAAGATTACCGTTAGTTCCATTAATGACATTAACAGCTTTAATTTGGAACGCATTATAACGGTTAAGGGCGCCATAGATAATATGTCGCGTGCCGAAAATCAAATTAGCTCTAAACTGCGTCAAAGCTATGAGAATGATTTACAAGCTATGGCTCCACAAAGTGTTATGTTCCCTGGTCTACCACCCATGGCCATGATGTCCACACCGGGCAATGGCATGATTTTCAATCCTAGCATGCCTTATGCTCCCTGCCCTGGATTCCCACTAACGAAGACACCCGCCCCCGTTGTGCCGCCCGTCTTCCCCAATGATATGCAGGAGACTACATACCTCTATATACCCAATAATGCTGTGGGTGCTATTATCGGTACTAAGGGTTCGCACATACGCAGTATAATGCGTTTCTCGAATGCTTCTCTTAAGATTGCTCCTCTCGACAATGATAAGCCGGCGGAACAGCAGACAGAACGTAAGGTTACCATAGTGGGTACTCCGGAGGGTCAGTGGAAGGCTCAATATATGATTTTTGAGAAAATGCGTGAAGAAGGTTTCATGTGCGGCACCGATGATGTTCGATTGACTGTGGAAATTTTAGTGGCCAGCTCACAGGTGGGTTTGCAACACAATCTTGTTTATTTTGAAACAAATTTCTAATAAAATTTTATTTTTATTTAATGTTTCTTAAAGGTGGGACGTATTATTGGCAAGGGTGGCCAAAATGTACGTGAATTACAACGTGTCACTGGCAGTGTTATCAAATTGCCCGAACATGCGCTGGCGCCAGCATCGGGCGGTGATGAAGAAACACCCGTACACATTATTGGACCATTCTACAGTGTACAGGTGAGTTTAGAGCAAAAATTTTAAAGTTTTAATTTCAAAACAAATATAAAAGACTAAAAACTGTTCACTTCCAGTTTTGTGCTAGTTCTGTTTTAGTCTGTTCTAGTTCTGTTCTAGTTCTGTTCTAGTTCTGTTCTAGTTCTGTTCTAGTTCTGTTCTAGTTCTGTTCTAGTTCTGTTCTAGTTCTGTTCTAGTTCTGTTCTAGTTCTGTTCTCGTTCTGTTCTAGTTCTGTTCTGCTCTAGTTCTGTTCTAGTTCTGTTCTAGTTCTGTTCTAGTTCTGTTCTTGTTCTTTTCTAGTTCTGTTCTAGTTCTGTTCTAGTTCTGTTCAGTTCTGTTCAGTTCTGTTCTAGTTCTGTTCTAGTTCGGTTCTAGTTCTGTTCTAATTCTGTTCTAGTTCCGTTCTAGTTCTGTTCTAGTTCTGTTTTAGTTCTGTGCTAGTTCTGTTCTAGTTCTGTTCTAGTTCTGTTCTAGTTCAGTTCTAGTCCTGTTCTAGTTCTGTTCTAGTTCTGTTCTAGTTCTGTTCTAGTTCTGGTCTAGTTCTGTTCTAGTTCTGTTCTAGTTCTGTTCTAGTTCTGTTCTAGTTCTGTTCTAGTTCTGTTCTAGTTCTGTTCTAGTTCTGTTCTAGTTCTGATCTAGTTCTGTTCTAGTTCTGTTCTAGTTCTTTTCTAGTTCTGTTCTAGTTCTGTTCTAGTTATGTTTTAGTTTTGTTGTAGTTCTGTTCTAGTTCTGTTCTAGTTTATGAAAATCTTTTAATGTTAACCTTTTCCTTTAATTCTAGTCGGCTCAAAGACGTATTAGAGCCATGATGTTGTCTACAAACCCACCACCCGTTACCAAAAAACAAAAAGCTGCCAAAGAACAACAACAACAGCAACAAGTTGCTCAAACTTCCTCGGGTAGTGGGTCACAACAACAGCAACAGCAGCAGCAACAACAACAGCAACAATCATCACAACAACAACAGCAGCAGCAACCACAACAGCAGCAGCAGCAACAGCCGGGTGCGAGTACAAATCAGTAAGAGTAGAGTGTGGGTGTAAAAGCATTTATTAAACTTTAATTTTTTTATTTTTAAAAATTTATTATTAAAAAAAAACATATTTTTTTTCTGTTTAAATTTATATAAAGAAACACAACACCCCACTATCCCCTCCTCACACACAAACACAAAACCGTTAAGAATAACCCCCTTGAAAAACAAATTTTCTATTAAATTTACTCGTCAAACCTCGTTTTTAAGTAATATTTTTTTTCATTTAAATTTATATAAATATTTTTTTTTTCTTAATACAGCAGAGAATTCTTTAAAATTACTTTTTTTTAATTTAATTTTTTTTTTCTTTCAAACAAAACAAAATTTCTTTTTTTGGAAAATATTTAAACAAAAAAGGTGGAAAATTATATTAAAAAAAAAATCACTTTTTGGCAAATTTTTATGAAATATAAATAAAACTGGCTCTAAAAAAACCCAACAACAACACTTTTAAATAGTAATAAAGCTTGCTTACAAAAAAATTTTTTTGGAAAAATATTTAAAAAAATATATATATAAACATAAAACTAAAACAAACAATTTTTGGTCAAAAAATAAAAATTATAGAGAAAAAAAAACTTTACTTAAAATATGAAAGAATGACAGACACAATTTCTTTTTTATAAGTTCTTGAAAACATAAAAAAGAAATTAAATTTATATAAAAAAAAATCCTGCAAAAAATAGCATTAAAATTAAAAAATAGTTATAAGCCGTAAATATTAAAAAATTTAACAAAAAATATCAACATAAAAACAAAACAATTTAAAACACTATATTTCTGGTATTTGTTAACACACACATAAACAAAACACTTTTACATTTAAACAATGTTTCAAACTGTTTTTAAAAACAATTATAAATAAGAAATTGTTTAAAATATAAAGCAAAAATGGTGACAAAAAGTATAAATTTTTAAAAGTAGAATAAAAAACTGCCTTTATGCCTCTTTAAAAACTGAAAACGTCGTTGTTCTAGGGTTTCTGGCTTTAGCAACATGTTTATAAACTTTTACTTAAGTGTTTAAACTAAAATTAAAGCTCTGCTGGTTGCCTTTGCTATCTCGCCCTTAAAAACATTATGATTTTCTTTATAATACTGTTTGTAACATTAGCAACATGTTTCTAAGCATTTAAACACTTCAGCATAAAGAAAAAACATGTCCGAACACCCTGCTAAGCAAAACAGCATAGTTTAACTTTATTTGCTCACAATAACCTTTAAAAACATAATTTTTACGGAATATATGTCTATTACAACATAAACTGGCATTAGCAACATGTTTCTAAACATTTGCTTAAATGTTGAAACTAAAATTAAAGCAAATGTTTAATTTATTCGCATTTCTACTATTTAAAACGTTTAAACTTCTTTTGAATATATATCTATTACAACATAAACTGGCATTAGCAACATGTTTCTAAACATTTGCTTAAGTGTTGAAACTAAAATTAAAGCAAATGTTTAATTTATTCGCATTTCTACTCTTAAAAACGTTTTAAACTTCTTTTTGCTCTTGTTTCTAGTATAAGCAACATGTTTATAAACATTCAAACACCTCAGCAAAAAGAAACAACTTATGCGACTATTCTACTGCACAAAGCAACAAATGTTTAACTTTATTTACTCACAAAAACATAAAAACTTAATTTTTAAGGATTAAACATCTTCCTATGTCTGCTGCAACATAAAATAACATTCACAACCTGTTTCGAAACATATGCTTGAACGTTTAAACTCAGATTTAATCTAATTTTTAATAACTTTACTTTCTTACTCTTTTAATTATTGTGGCGACAGTTTGTTTCTGTTTTTAGCAACCGCAGCAGGTTTGTAAACATTTGCTTTAACTTTTGTTTGCTTAGACGTTAATGCGATAAACAGAGAGTAAGAAAATGTGGCCAACAACAAGAGAGATAAACTTAAATTGCTCTAAAAACTATATGACTTTCATCATGTCATTGTTTTTAAACATTTGCTTTAACGTTTTTTGCTTAGACTCTTAAGCACTCGATAAAGAGTAGGAAAATGTGTTCAACATCAAAATAACAAACTTAAATTACATTTAAAATAATATTCCAACCTTTAAGATACTGTTGCTTACATTAGCAACATGTTTCTAAACTCTTGCTTTAATGTTTGTTGTTTAGACACTTAAGCATACTACAGAGTGTAAGAAAATGTGTTTAACAACAAAAGATTAAACTTTAATTACTTTTAAAATAAGAAGGCTGCTTGTCTGCTACTGTTTTTAGCAATTGCAACATGTTTCTAAACTTTTGCTTTAACGTTTTCTGCTTAAACACTTAAGCAATCAGCAGAGAGATAGAAAATACATTCAAAATACAGAGAGAGTGAACTTAAATTATTCTTAAAATAAGATAGCTGCTTACCGGCTATTGTTTTTTGCAATAGCAACATGTTTCTAAACTTTTGCTGTAACGTTTTTTTGCTTAAGCACTTAAGCATACAATGAAGAGTACGGAAATGTGTTCAGCAGCATGACAGTTAACTTAAATTACTCTTAAAACTATATGACATGCTTCCTGCTACTCTTTCTACCATTAAGAACATGTTTATAAACATTTGCTTAAACATTTTATGCTTAGACACTTAAGCACTCGATAGAGAGTAAGGAAATCCATTCAAAATCGAGAGCATACAGCAGTGAGTAAGAAAATGAGGTGAAAACCCATAGAGTAAACATAATTTGTTCTAAAAACATTACGACTTACTTCCTGCAACATGTCTATAAACATTTGCTTTAACGTTTTTTTGCTTAGACACTTAAGCACTAGACAGAAAGTAAGGAAATGCTTTCAAAATCAAGAGAGTAAACTTAAATTACTCTAAAAACAGTACGACTTCCTGGCTGCTAATGTATCTAGCAGTAGCAACATGTTGCTATAGGATTTAGACACTTAAGCACTCAGCAGAGGGCAAGAAATTAAACTTAAATTAATGTTTAAATATAAAATTTGTCCTTATTTATACTTTTATGACACCAAAGCTTTATATTTTGTTTAATTTTTTTTTTACAAAAATGTGTGTGAAATTACAAAAACTCTCTCTCTCTCTTCCCCATAATAAAAAAAAAACTCCCAAGTGTTTGCCTTAAAACGGTGCTGAAATGTTAATTGATTTGTTAAAAAATGTATTGTAATGTTTAGTTTTTTTTTTTTTTTTGTCTTAATATTAAACACAAACTTAGTTTTCTAATTTTTAATTAAAAAATTGTTAAAAAGAAACTATTTAAACTAATTTTATATACAAAAAAAAAAGAAAAGCAATAGAACCACTAATTTTAAAACAAAACCTTTTTTATGCAGGTTTTAAAACTGTTATAAAACTGTTTTGAAAACTTTTAAGTATTAGCTAAACAAAGGTTTCATTTTCAAGCCTATTTTTTGTTTCTTAAACTAAAATAGTAACTTAACCATATCCCAAAAAACCCCAGAGCATTAAACAATCAAATCTTTTTTTTTAAACTACAATAGCCTTGTTTTTTTATATGTATACAATTTTTTTTTATAAAAAATAACTAGTAAAGTAGTTTCCGTTAAAGTTTAAAACAATTTTATTAACAAATAACCCTCAATATAATTCCTATAATTTAAAAAAAGAGTTTTTTTATACATAAAATATTTTTTTTTTATTAAATATAGAGTAATAAATATTATTTTAGCTTAAATTATAACAATTTCTTTTTAAATAATTAGCTCAAGTTTTTCTTTTTTTATAAAAAAAAAACTTAAAAAAAATATCTTTAAACATTTCGGCATAAATTATTTTTTCAACACAAAATTAAACAAAATTTTCTTCTACCACAAAACGTTTTTTGGCAACTCTTTCTTTTTACAAAAAAAAAACTAAAAACACTTACAGCGAACAAGTTTTTTACTTAAAACTTTGGTTTGAAATTCTTGAAACAAAAGTTTTAATTTTCTTTTTTTTTTTTTTTTTTTTTGCTTAATTATTAAACAAAAAATAATATAAAAACTATTTTAAAAAGAAAAGAAAAAGAAATGAAAACCAGTAATTAAAATACCTCAATGTAAGTGCATTATCTTCTATAAAAAACATTTAAAAAAAAGTATATGAAAAAAAAACTTTAAAAAAATAACTAAAAACATAAACTAAAAAATAATAATTCTAATTATATAAATAAAAAATATTAAATCTAATTATATAAATTAAAAAAACAACAACAACCAATCTAAAATAATACAAAAAGCAAGATTTATTATAAACTAAAACAACTTCTATAATATTATATATATAAAAAAATCATATCAAATCAAGCTGCAAAAAGAAAAAACCCAGAAAAAAACTCTTGTTTATTTAAACAGCAAGAAAATAAAACAAAAACCACAAGAAAATCTTCAATAAATTGAAAAAGAAAAGAATTAAAACAAATTTACTCTAAACAATAAACGGAAAAAAACAACAAATTTTTCTAATTTTTTTTTTCTAACAGCAACAATGTTGCCTAAAACACCTAAAAACACCCAGGCCGTCTTTCCCATACAAAACAATAAAATTTTAGTTCGTTAGTCTAATAATCACTAATTTTCTAGAAGAACCTACCCTTTCTATATCTACTTTAATAAAAATATGATTAGCAACATGTTTATAACATTTGGTTGAACACTCAATTACTTACTAAAGCTAAATAACTGATAGCGTTACTCACCTACTCTTTAAAACAATATGTTTGCCTCTCTGCTACTATTTTTAGTAACAACAAAATGTTTAAAAACATTTAAACATGCCAGCAAATGTAAACAACTTCTTTATAAACATTTGAACACTCCAGCAAACGTAAACAACATGATCAACCGCTTTGTTAACCAAAACATCAAATACTTAACTTTATTTTTAACAGCAGCACTTTAACAACAATGTTGCTTTGGAGAAACCAACTTCCTACTTGTGTTCCAACACAAATAGCAAAAGCAATATGTTTATCAACATTTAAACACTGCAGCAAAAGTAAACAACATTGCCGAACACCTTACTAACTAAAACAACAAATGTTAAACTTTGTTTTCTCATAGCAACACTTTAACAACAAAGCTGCTTAAGAAAAACATCAAACCAAGAGCAATATGTCTGCCTTTCAAATCAAAACAACATAAATATCTAAAGCAACATGTTTACAAACATTTAAACTTATCAGCAAAAGTAAACAACATGTCCAAACATCTTGCTAACTAAAACATCAAACTTTGTTCTCTCATAGCAAAACTTTAACAACAAAACTGCTTAAGATAAACATCTTCCTACATCTACTGCAACAAAAAATAACAACAGCAGCATGTTTATAAACTTTTAAACACTTTTAAAGCTAATGGCTGCTTTCATTACTCTGTTGGATTCTTTTAACACAAAAGCGCATGTCTGTTTCGGCTTACAGCAACATCAACATGTTTATACACATCTGCTTGAACATTCAAACACTCCAGCAAACATCAACAACTCGTTCTCATCAATATAGCAGATTGTTAAACTTTATTTCTCACAGCAACACCTTTAACAGCCATTTTAATGGCAACATCTGCTTCAAACTCAAGTGTTTCTAAATGTATACATGTTGCCAACAACGGC